AATAGCACAGTGCGTGATGCACATAAGTGTTCAAGTCCTTCAGATCTTCATGTTTCATTGCATGTTGTAAACTAGACACTGTATTCTGAGTTGAGAATTCAAATTGAGCAAAACAGGCGAGGTCCCTGTGCTCAAAGAGCTTACTATCTAAGAGAGAAACTGATGTTAATTGAATGGTAATACCCATCTATATTTATAAAAGCCTAAGCAACCATTACAACTGGTCAACTGAATGACCAGTCACTATGATGCTCACTGACCACCACAGGGCAGACACTTAATGTAGGAGCTTTTCCCTGGTGGTCAGTGAGCTTCCCCAGCCAAGCTCCTACAACTGGACAGCTTCCTATGGTCCCTCGCCACCTGCAGGCTGGCCCCAATCAGCCCCAATTGGAACTGGGCAAGATGGCCCCGATCCACCCCAAATGCCAGCCAGGCTGAGGGACCCCACCCATGCATGAATTTGTGCACCGGGCCTCTAGTGAATATATAATTACAATTAGAAATAGGTACTCTGAAACACACACACACACACACACACACACACACACACACACACACACACCTCTGACCTAAGCTAGAGCATGGCAGAGGAGTGACTAAGGAATAAGGAATGCTTGCCTAGGGAAGTAATGCTTACTTGATATCTGAAGGATGACTAATTAGAGATGAGGCTGAAGAGGAGATATGGGCCAGAATATGAGGAATCTTTGCAAGATCATAATAAAGATGTAATTCTTTTCTATAAGAGCTGCAAATAGGTGTTGAAGGGTTTTAAGAACTTGAATGACATTATCAGACGTAATTTGCAAAGATGCTCAGACTGAACTTTGGATTATGAATTGAAGACACAAATATTTATTGACTGAATTAACAAAGTAAGTAAACTGACACACTTATCTAATTTTTTAAATTATGACCTGGCCAGTATGCCTCAGTTTCATGTTGTTTCATACATGAAAAGGTGGCAAGTTCAATTCCAGTTAGGGCAAGCATGTCAAACTCAAAGGCTAACATGGGCCAAATAAACAAGGTTTAAGTTTATGTGAGCTGCAAAAAAATCAAACAAACAAACAAAAAAAAAAAACCAAAAGCTTTGATTTTCATAGAAACATAGATTTGTTTTGATACACATGCTGAATACAAAGGGCTGAAATAAATGAGTAATCATTAACATAAAATTATAGAACATTTTAATAAAAATTTAATACTTTTTCTTGAACATTAACTTACCAGACACTGAATAACTGCCCAAATTAATAAGCGAAATGCAAATAAACCTATTTTTCTTGTTCTCTGAAAGAGAAATATTTCCTATTGTGCACACTAAACAAGTCCATCCAAGACTAATGATGTGGCAAATGGTTGCTGAAATATTCGCTCCTAGTATTAGTGGAGAGAAATGGTGTGCCTGAGCATAAGGTGTGTATGGGAAATGAATGTAACACGATTGCAGTAATCAATCATTAGCAAACATTGTAGTTCGTTATTAAAAACTAGAGGCCCAGTGCATGACATTCATGCACTGGGAGAGAGTGATCCCTCAGCCTGTCCTGTGCCTTCTCGCAGTCCAGGACCTCTTGGGGGATGTCGGACTGCTGGGGGCAGTGGGCCTAGGCTAGCAGGCTGACATCCCCCCAGGGGTCCTTAGTGCTGCTGAGGAGGCAGGAGAGGCTCTCACCGCTGCCATTGCACTCACCACTTGTGAGTTAGGCTTCTAGCTGAGCATCACTCCCCCTGCGGGAGCACACTGACCACCAGGGGGCAGGTTCTGCATTGAGCATCTGCCCCTGCTGGTCAGAGTGCTTCATAGTGACCAATCATTCCACTGTTCGGTTGATTTGCACATTAGGATTTTATTATATAGGATTACATATTACAGGATATTATAAAAATTAAGTTACAAAATTATTATTAAAATGTTTCTTACATACTGTGATATTGTCTGGGCCACAAAAATATTTGTTGTGGACCACATGCAGCCTGTAGACTGCGAGTTTGACATGCTTGAGTTAGGGCATATATCCAGATTGTGGGTTTTATCTCTGGTTGGAATGAGTACAGGAGGCAATCTATGGATGTTTCCTTCTCACATTGATGTTTCTTTCTTTCTCCCTTCCTTGTTCTCTAAAAAAAAATTAAGTATAGTTAATGTAAAACATTACATCACTTTCAGGTGTACAAAAACAGTGATTTTTACATTTTTATATACTTTATGATGTGATCATCATTGAGTCTAGTAACTATCATCGTACAAAATTATTATAATACTAGAAATCCAGTGCACAAAATTCATGCAGGGGTAGGTCTTCCTTCCCTTAGCTTCTGGCACCAGCTTCCCTCAGCTACCCACACGCGGGACCCGGGTTTCCCACTGGGTGCTAGCATCCGGCTCCACCCCCTTCTGCACCTTCCTTGGCCTGGCACTGCCTGCATCCACTGCCACCTCCTGCCCCCTTCCCCAGTGGGCAATCAGGGCCTGCTGGCCAGAGGGAGACAAGGAAGTTGGCCAGCAAACCCAATCAGGTCATCAAGGTGATTAGTGCGAGTCATAGTGCCCAGTCATTCTGGTCATTCCACCATTCAGTTGATTTGCATATTAGGGTTTCATATATATATTTGACTATATTCCCTATGCCCTATATTACATCCCTGTTACTTATTACATTTTTAAAATATATTTTTATTTATTTCAGAGAGAGGAAGAGAGAAGGCTAGATAGAAACATCAATGAGAGAGAATTATTGATCAGCTACCTCCTGCACACTCGCTACTGGAGATTGAGCCCATAACTCCAGTATGTGCCCTTGACTGGAATCAAACCTTGGACCCTTTGGTCTGCAGGCCAATGCTCTAGTCCCTGAGCCAAACAATGTAGGGCACTTATTGATTTTATTACTGGATACAGAGACCAGGCTGAAGGCAGTTGGAGGGCTGGGTGAAAAAGGTGAAATAATTAAACAAAGAAATAAACTCACAGAAATAGAGGGGAAATAAAAATTTTAAAAATTAAAAAGAAAATAACTCCCAACAGCTCACTTTATTCTGGTTCAATACCCCTAGGAGAAGCCCAAAAATCTGTTTTTGACCAAGTATAACAGGTGATGCTGATGCAAGGGTCCATGGACAAGCATATGGAAATTACTACACTTCCTCAAATTGTGAATATAGTGAAGCCTTTTGCATGAACAATGTTATGGAAGCATTTAAGAAATGTATTACATTTCTATTTTCTAAAATTTCACTATGGAGAATCCCATTCTTAACTAATAACACTATTGTTTCCTGGAATCCCCACGTCTAATCCTGAAGATGCTATGTAAGTGAGAAGGAGATGATGGTTCTTGAAGCCTAACTCAGAAGTTCTGAGAAATCCCTAGGAAATGAAAGGGAGTTGGGTCTCATTGTGGTGGCTTTCCTGGAGTCATAGATGGACACTGTTGGAGGTAAGGAGTAGAATAGGAGATATCTCTGATTGTGCCCTTTCTATTCACATTACCCTGAATGGATCACAGACCACCCCAACTCAAGGTGGGCATAGAAAACAGCGGGACCAGCCCAGCACCTGCCCGAGGAGGAAGGGTACCATCAATAAAGCTCATAGCTGTGAATACAGGTTAGTTTGGAACATCTCTTTTATTCTCTTTCTTCCATCCTGGGGTCTAGCTACAGAAAACAGTAGTAGCTCTTAGGAAAGGGATGACAAATGCAGAAGGTAACCTGAATGGCATGTTCTCCTCATGGAAGGGCAGATTGGAACAAGGGGAGCCAAGATTGCAACACCAAAGATTTTCTACACTAAGGCTCATCCACTCTCCTCTTTACTTCCCCTCTCAAATAAACAAAAATCACTTGGGCTTTGATGCTCCCTTTTCAAGTATGAGTTAGTATGAATTATATCTAAAGTTGCTGATATTCCCAAATAAATACGAGATCACCAGGGAAAATATTACAGCATCTAAGGAGTATAATTTCATAAATAACTGTTAGAACACTGGACAATTTGTACTAGAGGAGCAGAATTAATGGACAAAAAAAGTGATACATTTTAAACGAGTAAAATAAATACCTACAAAAATATAAGGGAGAATATTGTAAAGCAATAATAAGATGAAGATACTGATTATGAAAAAATAAATCAACTGAAATGAATTTAGTGGATGGGTTGACTATTACAGACGGGATACCATCAAATAACACATTAGTAAGGTAGAAATTAGGGAAATCTCCCAGGAAATATCTGGAAACAATAAAGAGGTGGGAAAAATAAAATTAAGAGATATGCAGAGAATATCTGCTAACAAAACCTAACAACACCATGACTTGGGCTATGAAGAAGGATTGATAGAAAAAAAGTTACTCCTTCTGTTCTACGGGAAACCTGTCTGGATGACCAGTAGAAGAGCCACCATAGATTGAGTTTGTTTCAGTCCAGGCTAGCTTCTTTCCAAGCACGATTCCATTGGATCCTCAGGGTAACACTAAGAGGTTTGTAATACCATCACCTCCAGGGCATGAGTGAAGAAACTGAAGCCTGCTGAGGCGTAAACATTTTTATTCCATTTCCATACAAGATTAGATTTCATCTTTCAGACAGATCAGGTGAGTCTACCTTCCCAAGATTACCTTTAGGCTTCCCTCCCTACACTGGAGCTGTCATCAGGCGCAGAGGGTGGGGCGGGAGGCGGCCCCCGAGGGGGACAAGCTGGGCAAAGCCCGCCCTGAAGGCGGGACCACGGCGGGGCGTGGCCTCACGCCCATGCTCTCATTGGATCTGGGCGGACTTCCGGAGAGCCGTAAAGACCTTTCCCAGTCGTGAAGTGGCGTCGCGCAGACGCGTTGCTTTACGACGCTCGGAGGAACACACAGGTCGGCGTTCACGGCCTGGGACTCCCAGCACGTGGGCCTGTGAGGTTCTCCCCGCTTGTAACCCACACCGCCCGGCGGAGGCCAGCCCCGTGGAGGACAGGGTGGCAGCGGAGGCCCAGGGTCGCGCGCTGATGGATTTTGCCGCTGACAATGAAGCCACGTCGGGAGGCGGCCTCCGGCGCGGGGCTGAGGGGGCGCGGCTGCCGCTCGAGGCCGGTGGTGGAGCGGCGGCGAAGGGGCTGACCGGAGCGGAGCACACCGCGGGTGGAGGAGAAGGGACTCCGCCGGGGGCGGAGGAGGAAACGCCGGCGTTTCTAGCGGCTGTGAAGCTAGAGAACACGGACTGGCCGGAGGCGGAGGGAGGTATGCTGGGGGGCCGGCCGATAAAGCAGGAGGCGGAGGACGGGCCTGAGGTGAAGGAGGAGAAGCCGGACCCCGTGGAGGTGAAGCTGGAGGTGAAGCAGGAGGCAGAGGGCGGTTGGGCGGTAAAAGAAGAGAAGGTGGAGGAGGATGGGCCAGAGATCAAGGAGGAGAAGGTGAAGGATGGGCCAGAGATCAAGGAGGAGAAGGTGGAGGAGGATGGGCCAGAGATAAAGGAGGAGAAGGTGGAGATTGGGCCAGAGATCAAGGAGGAGAAGGTGAAGGATGGGCCAGAGATCAAGGAGGAGAAGGTGGAGGCTGGGCCAGAGATCAAGGAGGAGAAAGTGAAGGTGAAGGAGGAGGTGATGGACTGGCCGGACGTGAAGGAAGAGGGGAAAGACCCCTTGGAGATAAAACAGGAGGAAGAGATGGTGTTGTTCACCCAGAACATAAAGGAAGAAGTGATGGATGAAGCGTATGTAAAAGAAGAGTGTTTCCCGAAGGAAGAAATACTGGAGGACACCAAGGTGAAAGAAGAGCCCCCGATCAATTGCCCCGTGGGCTCGAAGCGGAAACTGGCCATGACAAGGTAGGGCTCCGAGAAGTCCATTGTGGGGATGAGGCCGTGGAGGCCTCTGCTGTCTGGTTTGATGGAAACTGCACCGCCAGCAGGTGCAGGAAATGAAGCACAAGTTGGGTCCCTGGAACCTGGGTGGTGGGAGCGGGGAGCGAGGAATTGGGGCTGTGGAGGGTTTTGTCAGATAACGGATTCAATGAAAATATGTGAGGTTGATAGTGTCCCATGAGCAAGTCAGAAGGTGAAAATTCTGGGGACCAGAAAATCCTTGGACCAGATTCTGGCTTGACTTGATGTGCTCTTGACTCAGTATTTATTTATTTGAGGGAGGAGAGATGTGAGGAAAAGGCTAATAAAACTAACGAGGACACAGTGGGTTGTTAAAATCATACAAAAATGCACTTAAATTCGTCCAGTTGTTTAGTTTTCTAAGAATGCTATTACTATTCGTTATTTTTATTTGTTTTTCCAGTTGTATGTGATCATGTGACATAGGAAACAAAGAGGGATCAGGTTCTTGGGACTTTTACTAGCTAGAACACAATAGGTCCTAGACTAGCAGGTGAAGACACATATAGCAGACCTAGATTATTCTGATGTCTATTCCAGGTTGTGTGTGTAGTTGAGGAAAAAGGTTCAACTGCTATTCTCTGAACTTGACTGAGTCTTACAAAGTTTTACTGGTGTGTGAGCCTGTAAATACATCTAAACATAATTCATGGATTGAACTTCTGGATATAGCACACACACAGTCGTTAAGAGATTGCCAGGAATTACAAGTTAAAAATGTCATTGAATAATCCCTTTCTCTGATGATAGTAGTAAAAGAAGTCAAAAGTGAGATGATTTTTTAAACAAATCTAATACATATTTTCTTGAGTTACATATTGCTAATAACATTGTAAATGTAGTAGTCATTTGGAGACGGTTTCCTAGAAGAGAATTTTCTAACAATGTTTGACAAGCTAGTGAGTATTTTGTCAGGTGCTTGCATATATTTTATTCACTGTGTCTGCAAATTGATTGTGATGAGTAATTGATTCATTAAAATTTTATGAACAAAAAAGTAGAATTAGTAACGGATAATTTATGTTTCATGTGGGTTTTTATAGATGTGAAACTTGTGGTACAGAAGAAGCCAAGTACAGATGTCCACGTTGTATGCGGCATTCTTGCAGGTATCCTAATATATATAAAGAGCTGGGTGGTGTCATGACCAAACTGGCAACCGGTCACCATGAAGTGCATGGACCACCTCTCTGTCCCCCCTCTCCTCTATCCCCCGAGCTGCTCACCATGAGGAGGGACTAGGGACTGTTGAGCAGGGGTGGTGGGCTGCTTTGTGGGGTGGCCGTGAGGTTAGCAGAGCAGTCAGTCACCCAGGCAGCAGCGAGTTTTGCGAAGCAGTCGCAGGGCTGGGGAGTTTCCTGGAGCAGTTGCGGGGTCAGGGGAGCCTCTCGGAGCAGTGGTGGGCGCGGGGGTCTCGGAGCATCCAGCGGTGAGCTTCGAGGGCCGGCAGCAAGCTTCACAGAGCAATCGAGGGGCAGGGGGAGCCTCGGGAACAGTCGAGGGGCTGCGAGCATCGTGGAGCTTCCCGGGGCAGGGATCTTCATGTACCATGGTAGGGCGGCAGAGGCCAGGCTAGGCCTAGGGACCCTAACCACACGCAATTTTGTGCACACTGAGCCTCTAGTATACTAGAGGCCCGATGCATGAAAATTCCTGGAAAAGTAGCCTTCCTTCCCCCGTCTGCTGACACCAGCTTCCCTCTGGGGCCCGGACTTCGCTCCTCCAGCCGCCAGCAGGCACCCAGGACCTGGGCTTCCCTTTCAGACCTGGCTTTGTCAAGAAGGTCATCTGGAAGGACGTCTGGTCTAATTAGCATATTACACTTTTATTATTGTACCGTGTTTCCCCGAAAATAAGACATCCTTTGAAAATAAGACCTACTTACAGGTTTCCTTCTGAGTGAAATATAAGGCGCTCCCCCTAGGCTAAACATGAGAGGTTTGGTCCACTGATTCTGAAAGAAATGGAGTCACAAGAAATTCACCAGGAAATTCAGGAATTGGATTGTTTGATGATGTTCCAGAAGATGATGACATGATTGTCATTGAATAAATGAGTAAATTCTTGATACTATAGGATTCACAGTTTGTCTGGTTTGTGTTGACAACTACCGTACTACCGTACTGTATCCAGGTAATAAATTTCTTTTATTTTCATTTAACAATAAATGTGTACCGTATTCTTCATGGAAAAATAAGACATCCCCTGAAAATAAGACCTAGCGCATCTTTGGGAGCAAAAATTAATATAAGACACTGTCTTGTTTTCGGGGAAACAGGGTAGATAATTTTCTACCTTTTTATCTCTATCTGTACCATTGTTACCTCAAAAATATAAAAGTGACTCTTCTTTTCTCTTCAGTTTGCCCTGTGTAAAGAAACACAAAGCAGAACTGACATGTAATGGAGTTCGAGATAAAACTGCCTATGTTTCATTACAACAGTTTACTGAAATGGATCTCCTAAGTGGTAAGCCATCTTATGCATAGCAGATTGGTGCTTCCTGGCCATTGCTTTATGTTGTGTGTTTATTTTTCTGTTTTGAAATTTTTAGATTATCGATTTTTGGAAGATGTGGCAAGAACAGCAGACCATATTTCCAGAGATGCTTTATTGAAAAGATCATTAAGCAATAAACATGTAAGTATTTCTTCTAATCTTTTCCAGTTAGAATGCCTTTTAATTAATTAGATTCATTTTTTTCACTCAACAAAATGTTTTAGGTGGCCACTACGGTCTGAAGTCTATTCCAGTTACTAGGCTACACCATTGACCAAAACAAAGGCCTTCACCTCATGGAACTTGTCTTGTAAGGGGAGAAACAGAAGTTGCGTAGAAGTAAATATTTAATTTCAAGTGGAATTAGTGCATGTGGAAAATAAAGAAGGCACAGGAGGTTAAAGAAAATGAGAATACTGTTTGTTGGGAAGAGGTTGTGAGGGTGCTGTTTTTGATACAGGGGTCAGGAGAAGCTGCTTTGAGAGATGACATTTAAGCAGTGATCTGAACGATGAGAAAGAGGCAGTCCTGTGAACATTTGGAGGAAAACTATACCAGGTAGAGACAAAAGTAAAGACAGTTGGGAACGAGGCTGGTGTGTTTGAAGAATTGAAATAGGGCAAGGCAACTAAAGTGTAGTTGAGGAGAACGTTAATCTTTGGTTCTAGTTTATTCTAAGTGAAACTAAAAGACATAGGAAGGTTCTGAGAGTATGCTTTTAGAAAGATCACTCTTTCTGCTGTCTGGAAAATGGACTTTAGCTGGTAAGAGTGGGAGATTGGAAGCAGCGAGACCAGTTTAAAGGCAGTTGCTTGAGGTACAGATGATAATGCTATTAGAATTATTAAGAAGCAGATTATGGATTTAAAGGAATAGCTAATAGGACAAGCTATTTCAATACACATAATTTTCATTTCATCTCTTTTTTTTTTTTAATCCTCATCTGAGCATGTGTTTATGGATTTTAGGTAGGGGGAGGAAGAGAGAAAAAATGAGTCATACATGCCCCAATTGAGGACCAAACCCAAAGAAAGATCATTTGCCAATCGATTTGTTGCCTTTCATACATGCCCCAATTGAGGACTGAACCCAAAACCTAGGTATGTGTGTCCTAGGGAATCCACCTTAAGACCTGTTGGTGTATGGGATGATGCTCTAACCAGCTGAGTGCACCAGCCAGGGCTCATCCTTTTTTCATTCATTGAGCACTATTCAAAATTAAAGCTTACATGTTTGAAATATTTTGCAGCAGCTATTCCAGAAATTCTTTAATAATATTAAATCATGTCATGGAATTATGTCCATTTTTTTCAGACACTATTTTAATATTGAAGTTATAGAATTTTAATACCTTTTAAACACGTTTTTTTTGTTTGTTTGTTTGTTTTTTATTTTATTGATTTTTTACAGAGAGGAAGGGATAGGGATAGAGAGCTTTAAACATCGATGAGAGAGAAACATCAACCAGCTGCTTTCTGCACACCCCTTATTTGGGATGTGCCCGCAACCAATGTACATGCCCTTGTCTGGAATCGAACCTGGGACCTTTCAGCCCGCAGACTGACGCTCTATCCACTGAGCCATACCGGTTTTGGCCTTTTAAACACGTTTTATTGGTGTTTTTAGTACAGAAATGATATGACATGTATCTGAAAGAAAGATTATCATGCATCATCTTTTTTCCTTAAGCTTAATTAGAATTCTACTTAAAAGATAAATTGCTCTTTAATTTTTTCTTTTTATTGTGAAGTATGGCATGCACATAAAAAAAGCATAAAAGAAATACACTGTCTAATGAACATTTATAAAGTTAACATCCATCTTATGACCATTCAAGTCTAAAATTAGAGCATTCATCTGCTTCTCAAAAGTTCCCTGTTCCCCCTTGTGCCCTTCTCTAATCCATTGTTATTTCTGAATAATTTTCTAGTTTAAAACTGTACCACAATTTATCCATTCTTTTCTTGGTAGACTTTGAGTTTTCTGTAATAAAAAGAGAAAAAAATTAGAAACAATGCTGCTATGAAACCATTTGTTTATGAATTGTAGTTTGCGTGTGCACATGTTTTTCTGGGGTTTATATCTGGGAGTGGAATTGCTTTGTTGTGGAGTGTACATTTCTTCAGTTTGACTAGGTGTTACCAAAACATTTTCTAAAGTGGTTGTACCAGTTCCCAGTAGAGCGTAAATGGCACCTATTGTCACATCCTGTCCAATATTTGATGTGGTCAAAGTTTTAAAATTTTTGTTGTCCAGCCGATGTGGCTAAGTGGTTGAGTGTCATCCTATGACAGATTAGAGTTTGATTCTAGTGAGAACACATACCTGGGTTGCAGGCTCGATCCTCAGTTTGGGGTATGCAGAAAGCAGCCAATCAATGATTCTCATCATTGATGTTTCTATCTCTTTCTCTCTCTTCCTTTCCAAAGTCAATAAAAATACATTTTTTTAAAAATTGTCCATTAGATGGCTGCATAATTTTATTGTGGTTTTTAATTTGCAGTTCTCTTGATTCCTAATGAGATTGAACACCTCTCAAATATTTTATTGGCCATTTGGATTTTCTCTTTTGTGGAATGCCTGTTTAAGGCTTTTGCGCATCTTTTCATTGGTTAGCTTTCTTCTTACTGGTTTTAAGGAAATTTATGTATTTTTTGGATGCTTGTCTGTGCTGTAAATATCTTATTCCATACTTTGCTTTTTGTTTTTTTCCTCACTCTATAGTGTCTTGTGGTAAATAAATGTTCTTGATGTTAATATAGTCAAAATTATCATGTTTTGTTCATAGTTTTGTGTTTATAAAAAAATCCTTACCTACCTAGAAGTTATAAAGTTCTCTCATAGTTATTTTCTAAAAGTTTTTAGTGTTGCCTCTCACATTTATAGCTGTAAACTACCTGGAATTAATTTTTGTGTAACACGGCAAGTGGAGATCCCATTTAATTTTCCATATGAATAATCCACTCTTACTAGCACTATTTATTGAAAAGTTCATCTTTTCATTATTGCTTTGCAAGACCATATTTGTCATATATCAAGCATCTTTATATGTTTGGGTCAGTTTCTGGCTGTTCCACTATCTACACCAGTTATTGTAGCAGTATTTTTTGTTGTTGTAATTTTTTGTTTATTTGTTTTTATTGAAACTTATCTAATGGAGCAAGTCCTCCCTCTTTGTTCATTTTTGAGAGTATGCTATATTCTTTGTAATTCTCTATAAATTGGAAAAATCATCCTGTTGGTTCTACAGTTCTTCCTGCCCAAACCTGAGCATTTTTTGATTGGGGTTCCATTTATTTTATAGTAAAATAACTTGAGTGATGAGACATCTTTTTAGCATTGAATCTTTAAATCCTTGGTTGTGTTGTATCTCTGCATTTATTTGTGTCTTCTTTAATATCTCTAATTTTCTCAGTGGGGTCTTGCACATTTCTTACTAAATTTATTTCTGGGCACAATTTTTTCATGCTAATTTATATAGCATTTTAATTTTATTATCTCTTTGCTGGTATTTATGAATGATTTTTTGTTATTGTTTATTTTATAGTGAGCAGCCATATTATAATCTATTTTAGTATCTTATCTATAAATTATTTAGGTTTTTTTTTCTGTAAATATTTCATCACAATTTCTTCCTATCCTTAATATTTTGATCTCTGTCCCTCTCACTCTCCCTTCCTTTTCTCTCTCCCTCGCTCTCCTTTTCTCTCTCTCCCCCTCTCTCCTTATTGAAAAAGCTAGGACTTCCAATTCAAAGTCAGATACTAGTGATGACAATATATTTTTGTTGCAAGTCCCAATTTTACCCTTGGCTTGATAGAAGGAATTTGCTAGAAGGATTCACAGAACTCGGCATACATTTGTACTCATGGCTATATTATTACAGTGAAAAGGTACAGAGTAAAATTAGCAAAATGAAAAAGCATGTGGGGTAAAGTCTGGAGTAATTCAAATACAAGATTCCAAGAATCCTCTGCCTTTGGAATCACACAGTACAGTTAATTCCTTGGGCAGTGAGCTGTGATAACATGTGTGAAGTGTTGTCTACCAGGGGACACCATTAGAGACTCACTGTGTAAGGTTTTTATTGGGAACTGATTGCACAAGCACCCTCTGCCAGCTTGTACCAAATCCCAGACTCTCAGAAGGAATGCAAATAATCTACATTGTTTATACAAACAATTTTGGCACAGCGAACCATTTTTATCATTTGGAAAAGTTTTATATACCATTTATAATAATAAAATCGTAATAAGCAAATCGACTGAACAGAAGAACTTCCATCCAGACAAACTTCCAGACGACTCTGCTATGACACACAACGTCAGAACACCCCCTCCTACCTGGCAATCAGCAGTTTGTTCTCTGTTTCTATAAGTTTGTTTCTGGGTTTTTTTGTTTGTTGTTTGTTTTGTTTTTCAGATTACACACATATTTGAAATCATATGGTATTTGTCTTTCTTGAACGTATTTAACTTAGCAGAATAACCACTAGGTCCACCCATGTTGTCACAAATGGCAAGATTTCATTCTTTTAGGGCTGAGTAATATTTCATTTCATATATGCGCCACAGCTTCTTTACCAGTTGTCAATTGATGGACACTTAGATTGCTTTCATATCTTGGTTATTATAAATAATGTTTCAGTGAATATAGAGATGTATTTGTCTTTTCAAGTTAGTGTTTTAGCTTTCTTTGGTTAATACCCAGAAGTTGAATTGCTGGGCCCTTCCTGATCTCTTGTTGTATACAGCCTTTGTTTTAAACTCTATTTTGTCTGATAGAACTATTGTTCCCCCAATTTTTTTTTCTTTGTTTCCATTTGCATGAAATAATACTTTCCATTTCTTTACTTTCAGTTTTTGTGATTTTTTTTTTATCTGAAGTAGGTCTCTGTGGGCAGCATATGTATGTGTCTTTTTTTCTTACCATTTCGCCATCTCGTGTCTTTTGATTGAAGCATGTAACCATTTATATTTAAAGTTAATTATTGATAGGTATATATATTACCATCATCTTATTACTCATTTTTTAAAATCTTTTTTTTTCTTAAAGAGGTCGCTTTAAAATTTGTTTTGTTGTATGATTTCGGGGTGATGAACTCATTGAGCTTTTTTTTTTTTTTCTTTAACCTGGGAAGCTCTTTTTTTGTTTGTTTGTTTGTTTGTTTTTAATAAATCTTTATTGTTCATATTATTACAAATGTTCCTCATTTTTTTTTCTCCCTCCATTGCTCCCCTCCATCAGGTTCCCACCCAACCCTCTGCCCTTTCCCTACCCCCCATTGTCCTCATCCATAGGTACACAGTTTGTGTTCAGTCTCTTCCCACACTCCCCACTCCTCTTTTCCCCGAGAATCATCAGTTCACTCCCCTTCATACCTCTGATTCTATTATATTCACCAGTTAATATTGTTCATCAGGTTTTTTAATTCTCTTGGTTTTTAGATTCACTTGTTGATAGTTACGTATTTGTTGTTCATAATTTTTATATTTATTTTCTTCGTCTTCCTAAAGAACCCCCTTCAGCAATTCATATAATTCTGGTTTGACAGTGATATAATTCTGGTTTAGCTTTTTTTATTTTTTTATTTGTGAAGCTCTTTATCTGGCTTTCGATTCCGAGTGATAGCTTTGCTGGGTAGAGTATTTTTGGCTGTAGGTTCTTGTTATTCATCACCTTGAATATTTCTTGCCATTCCGTCTGGCCTGCATGGTTTCTGTTGAGAAATCAGCTGACAATCATATGGGTGCTCCTTTATAGGTAACTACCTATTTCTCTCTTGCTGCTTTTAATATTCTCTCTTTGTCTTTTGCTCTTGAAATTTTAATTATGATGTGTCTTGTTGTGGTCCTCTTTGGATTCCTTTTGTTTGGGGTTCTGTGCGCTTCCTGGACTTGTAAGTCTAATTCTTTCACCAGGAGGTGGAAGTTTTCTGTCACTATTTCTTTCAGTATGTTTTCGGTATCTTGCTCTCTCTCTTCCTCTGGGACCCCATAATTCTGATGTTGGTTCACTTGAAGTTGTCCCAGAGGTTTCTTACATTATCTTCAACTTTTTGGATTCTCTTGTCTTCTTGCTTCTGCAGAGGAGTATCTTCTGGCTCTTTATGTTCCAAATCTTTGACTTGATTCTTGTGATCTTCCATTCTGTTTATAGGACTCTGTATAATATTTTTTATTTCAGACAATGTATTCTTTATTTCTTGTTGATCCCTTATTATTTCTTGTTGATTGCTTATTTCTTGTTGATCCTTTATTATTTCTAGTTGATCCCTTTTCATATCCTCATAGGTCTCGTTTATTTTATCGGCCTTTTCTAGGAGATTCTTGAAAAACCTTATAAGCGTGGTTTTGAACTCTATATCCAGTCGCTTTTTGTCCTCCATTTCTTTAATTTGTGATCTGTTTCTTTGTCTCGGCATTTTCACAGCTTCCCTGAGTTGGTAGCCTTAGAAGTCTCTGTGTTCAGCTTGGATGGGGCAGAGTTTCAGGGTGAAGCCTACAGCCTTGGCTTCGGTCAGCCATGCCCTATGAGGCTCCTGAGTTTCAGTGTTCCTCAGGGTCCTTCAGTAATCATTGCAAGCACCTCTGAGAGTGAGGTGCCCTTGAGTTTCGCGTGCTACCAAACAGTCTAGGCTCTCCCCCAATGAGCCCGGAACTGGGGTTCAGTTGAGTTGGAAGTGGGTTTCAAGAGCAGTCTGCAGTTTTTGTCTCCTTCCCGCTAGGGCAATCCAGCGGCACAGTCAAGTGCCCGTTCTCTGTGCGCAATGTGCGCGCCTCCGGGGGCTCTGCCTTTCTCCGCTCCCCTGGGTTTCCGCCTTACAGCCCAGGCTCCCTCTGTATGAGCTTGGGTCCCCAGGGTCTGGTCTAGAACTGGGGTTCAGTCCAGTCGGAATTGTGGCTCAGCACAGACCGGAGCTTTTGTCTCCTACCTGATAGGGCAATCTAGCAGCAGAGTCAACGGTCCGACCTCTGCACGCAATGTGTGCAACTCCGAGGCTCTGCCTTTCTCCGCTCCCCTGAGATTCCGCCTCACAGCCCAGGCTCCCTCTGTATGAGCCTGGGTCCCCAGGGTCTGGTCTAGAACTGGGGTTCAGTGCTGTCGGATGTGGGGTTCAGCACAGTCGGGAACTTTTATCTCCTTCCAGCTAGGGAATGCCAGCCAGGCACTCAGCCTCCCCCTTCTCTCCCGCTCCGTCCTCTCTGTGCACAACGTGTCTCCGTACCTTAGGCTTTTACACTCTGATTTTCCTTCTGGTTTTCTTTCTCCTTCTCATTGTAGAATTTCCAGTCAGTCGACTTTCCTGTAGTTCTGGGTAATGTCCATTTTGTATTTTAGTTGTATTTTATTGAAATTGTTGTGTGAGGCTGCAGTTAGGTGTTACCTATGCCGCCATCTTGGATTCTCCTCTGGGAAGCTCTTTATCTCTTTCCATTTTAAATCATTACCTTGCTGGGTAGAATAATATCGGTTGTAAATCCTTGCTTTTAATTACTTTTAATATTTTGTGCCAATGTCTTTTGGCCTGTAAAGTTTCTATTGAGAAAATCAGCTGACAATTTTATGGGAGCTCCCTTTTAGATAACTAATTGCTTTTCTCTTGCTGCCTTTAAAATTTTTATTTTTTTATTTTTATTTTATTTTTTTTTTTTTGTCTTTAGCCTTTGGGATTTTAATTATGATATTTTTTGGTGTGGGCTTCTTTGATTTTGTCTTGTTTGGGACTGTCTGCACTTCCTGGACTTATATGTCTATTTTCTTTTTCAAGATAGGGAAGTTTTCAACTATTATTTCATCTGATAGATTTTTAATCCCTTGCTCTCTCTTTTCCTTTTGGTACAACTATGATGTGAATGTCATTACTCTTGTTGGTATCCCAGAGGTCTGTTAAACTATCCTCATTAAAACAAATTTTTTTGCTTGCCTATTGAGTGTTTTCCACTACCTTGTTTACCAAATCACTTCATCTAATCAGGTGAGGATTAACAACAGCAACAACAAATCAATAAAAGAGAAAGAACTATAAAGGTAACAACACCTATAATGTCTTTCTTTTTTTTTCTCTTTTTTTTTTCTCTTTTTAATCCTTCTCTTGGCTTATAGAGTGTATGGATAAAAGCACAGGCTCTGGACTTACACAGACCTGGGTTTGAATATAGGCTCTCTCAGAAATAATTGTGTACCCCTAGCCGGTTTGATTCTGTGGATAGAGTGTCGGCTTTTGGACCAAAGGGTCCGGGGTTTGATTCCAGTCAAGGGCACATACTATGGTTGCAGGCTCATGGATGTGTTTCTCTTACATCTGCTATTTCTCTCTGTCTTTCCCTCTCTCTTCCACTCTAAAAATCAATGGAGCCAAAGCCGGTTTGGCTCAGTGGTAGAACGTCGGTCTGCGGACTGAAGAGTCCCGGGTTTGATTCCGGTCAAGGGCATGTACATTGGTTGCGGGCACATCCCCAGTAGTGGGTGTGCAAGAGGCAGCTGGTCGATGTTTCTCTCTCATCGATGTTTCTAGCTCTCTGTTCCTCTCTCCTCCTCTCTGTAAAAAATCAATAAATAAATAAAATGTAAAAAGTCAATGGAAAAATGTTCTTGGGTAAGAATTAATAAAATAAGATTTTTTTTTAAGTTGTATAATGTTGGTATCTTATGAATTTTCACTGCTAAAATGGGGGTAATGGTAGTACCTGTCTCATAGTATTGTGAGTATAAACAACAGTGTTGCTTAGCACAGTTGGTAAAATATAAGATTTAATACATCTTAACTATTATATTTTGAACATTATTTTATTCACTTTGAAATTTAAGGAATTTTAAAATTAATTTGTCTATATTTGTTGTTGTTAGATGTGTTTTTTGAAAAATCGTGCCCGAAGGCAAGGTATTAACTTAAAACTTCTACCCAATGGTTTCACCAAGAGGAAAGAAAATTCAACATTTTTCGATAAGAAGTAAGTTCCTAACGTCTTCCTTAGTCTATCCGGTGTTCTGATTTTATCAGGAACATTTTTTAAGGTTTAGTTTGACACAGAGGTACCAGTAGTGTGGTCTGTGAGCTGTTTGTTATTAGTCTATGAAAAGATGACTATAGAAATGGAAAATAAACATTTAGAAACTTAAGATTTCTTTTGAGAGCCAGTGAGGGGAAAGAAAAAGACTTGGGAAACTTTTACTCTGCAGTGAATGTGAGTACAGGTAATACAACAGAGTTTAGTTTGCTGCTTTCTGAAAGATCTAGAGATCAAAAAGGATCCAACAGTACAGAGTACTATAAGGATTTCAGAACATTGTAAGTAGCCCACTAAATTATTGAGTAATACCTTTCAAAAGTCAAGATTCTGGATTTAGAGTAAAACAAACAACAACGGAATCCCTTCTTTAGTCTCTTAGTATATGTAAGAACTTGTACAAATTACTTCCTATTTCTAGGCCTCATCTTTAAGATGTGGAGGTTGTACTAAGTAAAATCTAAGATTCCTTCCAATTTTACTACTTCATAAATTGAAAAGACAGATCATCAGATAATTATTTAAACCTTCTACCTTTTCAACATGTTTTATTATAAGAAGGTGATGTTATCCACTTTTCTTTTTTGTATGTTTCAAGTCATAAATATTTGTAAAGGTGGTTTTCCTTTTTCCTGGTTGGCTTCCAGAAGTAAAGTAATGCCTTCATTTATTAAATGTGAGATGATTCCTTTGTACATTTTGAAACTAAAATATCTGGAAATTGACATAATTTGTTTGAAATTTAAGGTGACTGGTTTGTTCCTTCACAAAAATAAAGGCACACACTTTTTATTTTTCTCCAATTAGCCTTTTTCCCTTTAATATGTAATATAGACTGCTTTTCTTGTTAATGCAAATCTGCCTCATTATTTTTAAGTTGTCTATTCCATCTATGACTACTGTATAATAATTTAATTATTCCCATATTCATGCACCTTTAGCTTATTTCTAGTTTTTAATTGTTACAAATAATGTAATAAATATCATTGAATAGATTATTTTGGGTGCTTATGTGACTTTATCTGTAGGATTAGTTCCTAGAAAACAGAATTAATGGGTCAGAGACTACATGGGTTTAAACTTTTTCGAGAAACTTATTTTCGAGAAACTTTATTTTCCCTAAAAAAGTACCACTTTGTACCTTCATCAGAAATAGTATCAGAGTACCTATCTTAGTTATACTACACTTTAATTGAATATTTAAACTTTTTTTGTCTGATCATTAGAGAGGCTGATCTTTTAAATTTTATTTCTTTTCAGATCTGCCTATTTATATCTCTTCTTGCTCTGTTACATACATTTGAACATTTTCATCAGTCGGTTGATCCTTTAATTTTACCTTCCATTTTTGATACATGTTAAAAATTGTTTAAAAAATCTGTAAAACACAGAGATAATAAAATTGGAGTGGTTAAGAGCACAATCTGCCTGAGTTCAAATTTCCTCTCATCAGCCTTTCCTAGCTATGTGGTCTTACTTTGTGCCTCAGTTTCCTTATCTATAAAGTGGGGCTAGTAATAAATTGGGGTTAAATCAGTTTTCATTTCTATTGGTAGTACTACATGAAAATATCTATTTAAATATCTCACTGAATATCCTGCAGGCATAAAAAAGTTATCTCTTTCTTAAAACATTTTTACCACCCTGGCCACTTTGGCTCAGTGGTTGAAGAGTTGGTCCATAGAACCAAGTTTGCTTGTTGGATCCCCAGCCTGGTTGGGGTGTGTGTGGGAAGGCAAGCAATCAGTGTTTCTCTCTCTCTCTTCCTCTCTCTCCCTCTGTTTTTCTCTCCCTCTCTCCCTTCTTTTTTCTTCCCTCCCACACTCTCTCTTAAAAATCAATGAGAAAAATATCCTCAAGTGAGTATATTAAAAACAAGATTTTTTTTTTACCCATTTTAAAGGTTAAAATATTTTGTTTTAATTTTATTTCATTTAATTGCTAGTGAGATATGGAATATTTGCTCACAGTTTCAGAGTGATATCTAAAAATTTAATAGTAACATTAGACTTTAATGCAGTCTGCTGAGTTAAGATGACCCATCATTTGTAAAATCATTTTGGGAATCAGTTCAGTGGGGGGAAAATTTTTAATCTATGTAACATAATTTTTCCCCTTGTTAATTGTTAAATGACCTGTTATATTTTTAAATGAAAATGGTTTTTCTACTAACTGAATTTTAAAATGTCTGACTTAAGGTCTTGGATGAATAATAAAAAGTATTAACAGGAGTTCCCAGCTTAAAGAATATTTATTACTCATTAATCATCTTGGTAATCTCTTTAATCTCAATATTATGTTCATTCTTGTTCAGCATTTTCATCAGTGATATAAATCTTGACACTGTTGATGTTTTGAGCCAGAGAATTCTTTATTGTGGGCTGTCTTCTGCATTTTGGTATGTTTAGCAGTATCCCTGGCCTCTACCCTCTAAATGTTGGTAGCAAAAACACACATACATGCTTTGTTGTGACATCAAAAAATGTCTCCAGACATTGCCAGGTGTCCCCTGAGGTGGAGGCAGAGAAGAGAGGCAATATCACCCTTATTTGAGAAGCACTGATTTTGATGACTATAGAAGAAATACTTACTGAACTTAAAGCATGGCAAAATCAGCATTATAGAAAATTTTGGTTGCTAAAAGGTAGTATGTAAGTAACAAGATAAATAATGAAAGTCATGTATTTTAAGAGTAGAGGGGGGGAAAGCCCACTTACAAGTACTTTCTTTGGGAAACTGTTTTCTCAGCCATTTATATGAAAATGACCAAGATTATAGATGATGAGAGTGTGACTAGTTGAAAGGAGTGATAAAGCAACTACTAAATTTTTTAAAATAATTTCTTTCACCTCTGTTCTCTCCTGTGTTTTGAAGAAACGCATTTTCAACTTTCAAAAGTGGTTACGGCTTTGACTCAGATAAACCTCTATTTAAATATTGCCTCTACCATTTGATGCACATGAGGTGATTTTGTGTAAAATCAAGTTTACTGAGAGATTGAATAAAATAATACTGTAGTACCTGTCCCTTAGTAAATAATATACAGTGCCAATTAAAGGTCTATATTTCCTTACCTGAAATCCTGGGGATATAGTTTACTATATTACTTCCTAAATAATATTATAAAAACCTCGATGGGGTCATGCCCTCGTGCAATGTCCTCGCATGACACTCTTATGCACCGTTAGCACAAGATGGCCACCACAAGATGGTTGGCAGGGGAAGGCAGTGGTGGGTGACCAGGCTGGCAGGGGAGGGCAGTTGGGGGCGAGATCAGGCCAATAGGGGAGGGGCAGTTGGGGGAATATTCACTCCTAGGAGGTCTGTGACAGCATTGCATAATCAGACAATACTATTTCTGCAGTGACACCTGAAACTGTTCACATTATAATGGGTAAATAATGACTATAAATGGACTCAGCCAGGTTTTACTGCACAAGGAGTTAAGAAAAAACTTTGAGCTGGGTTAGTGTGGTTCATGGGTGAGTGTTAACCCAGGAACCAGGAGGTTACCAGTTCGATTCCTGGTCAGGACAGGTGCCCAGATTGTAGGCTCAATCCTGGTGGGGCATGTAGGAGGCAGCCGATCAATGATGTTCCTCTTTCATTGATGTTTCTATCTCTCTATTCCTTTCCCTTCCTCTCTCTGTAGAAATCAATTAAAAATGATTTAGGGAGGGAGGGGAGGAAGAAGGGGAGGAGGGAGGGAGGGAGAGAGGGAGGGAGGGAGGGATAAAGAGAAAAAAAAAGAGGGAGAGAGGGAGGGAGGGTAGGAAGAAAGAAAGATAAAGAGAAGAAGGGGGAAAAAACGAGTTTCTGAGATTGGGGGATTATGGAATCGTTGATTTCAGATTTTGATACTACTCCAAGATTATTATTATTACTCCCTAGGTATTAACTTGGTCCTTAGTTTGTTTCAGCAGCTTGAACTGTAATATAGTAAAAAACTCATATTTAATTTATTTAAAATAAAATATTCAAATAATAACTTTTGAGCAATCTGGGTGAAGATTTCTTTGGGTAGTTTTCTATAAAGTTTGAAATTATTTCAAAAGAACAGTGGTTTTAAAAATATTTAAATACCCCTATTTTAAGTGTTACTAATGTGTCATTATGACTAATTATCTCTGTAGAACTGTCAACAAGTTATGTAGCAGCAAGCACAATAGGTACTTTAGGAACATAGTTTCATTCTAACTTGGGTGTTTAGGACCAGTATCACTCTGAATTTCCTAAAGTCACGTGAAAAATTATGTGATGTGAATTTTTAAAAAAAATAAGAACTGTAATTTTCATTTTCTAGTCAAAATGGGATGTAACACTCATCAGTCTGGGAGGTAAAAATGTAGAATTTAATAGCAATGAATTTTAGAAGACTGATGAATTTGTAGGAGTATCAGAATGGATAACTTTCACAAACAACAAAAAGTTAAGGGATAATTGAGCCGAGCTTGGTAGCTCAAAATTTACATAAAATTTTAAAAAATATATATGGCAAAAAAGACCATAATATTCTTAAAAGACTAACTGAACAAAAAACAAAAAAAAGGAAATCTTTAACATATGTGACAAAAAACCCTTATGCATTAATTTAAAAAAAAGCATATATCCTATCAATATAGGGCTATAACCCCAGAAAGATGTTTTATTTGTTTGCTTTTAAGATCTTTGTCTTTGAAGTTTTATAGTTTCACTATGATATGTGCCTTCATATGATTTATTTTTTATCTTCCTTGGGATTTATATGGAAGTTCTGGAAAACTCAAATGAATTGTCTTAATCTCTTATTTATTTGTCTTTGCTACATTCTTGGTAATTTATTCAGCTATATTATCCAAGTTATATTCTCTCCTCATCTGTGTCTAATTAACCTAGCCTTTAGCCCATGCTGTTTGTTTCAGTTGTGTTTTTTATTTCTAGAAGTTCTGTTTCTTTCCCAAATC